TTAGATAGTTAAAATATATAGCTTATTTTCGTAACTAAGATTTGTTTAAGAAATATTTTGTGTAAGAGAGTGAAAAACATTAATGAAAACAATATTCATAAAAACAAAATTAAGAGTATTCATATAAAGACAAAAATAAGTCTTAAGTATATAATGATTTACTTCATAGAATAATAAAAATATGTATACTAATGAAAATATTTGATATTTACACAAATTACACTATTTAGTTTGGTAAAATTTCAAAACAAGTTTTCAGGCAAAGTTTACTTCACATTCCTTGAACCAAATTTGTGTTTAGTTCCAAATTTTTCCATTTGCAATTCTTTTTTTGGAGCAACAAACAACACATTGTATGCAAGACTTTTTGGGAAGGGGGGATTACGAGGTATGTGGCATGGAACATGAGGAGCTGAATATGAAAAATTAAAGCTATTACAATGGGATTGCTTGCAGAATCACTGAATAAAGTATAAAAAATTAGGTGACCAATAATGCTCTTTGTTGACTTAAATATGTCTCAAAATCTAAATATTGTAAAAATTGCATTTTTGAATTTTAAACAATGTAGTTGGATAAGCTTTTAAATGGAAGGAATAATTAAATATCTGTGAAAACAGGATGAGCAACTTTTGTTACTTTCATATTGCCCTTGGAAATCACATTATAAGTAGTCAGATGGTTCAGAATTTATTTGTCCGTATTTTTTCAGACATTGCATTCCAGCTTAAATGCATCTGGTAGCTGGTTCTTTTAACATTCTGAGCAGTGATTTTAAGATTATGTGCATCAGCAGTGAATACGGCTAAATTTTTGAAAATGGGTCTTTTAAAGATTTTTACTGTATTAAAAATGGTAAATTTAATAAAGAACAAAAATCTTATTTGAGTAAATCCATAGTTTTAATTCTAATACTTTCACAAAGCTACTAATCGAGCTGCACTTGAATGGAATCTGGAGAGAGTTGATCAAGGGAAATCCATATAAATGGTTTTTAAGAAAAATATATTTACTAACTTGTTTTTCTCTTGATTAAGAGCATAAATCACTAATAAAAGTAATTTCACTGATGGATATGCATTTCTTTTTAATTTAAAATTCTTTGCTCTCCCCCAAAAATTTGTTTTCTTCTTTACTGAACATTTTTGGGAAATTAATAAAGGCCGATTAAATAATTGTTTAGCTAGTTATGTGTAAACAATGCAGTTTTTAGAAATATAACCAGAACTCATAAAGGCATGTCTTGTAATTTACATAACCCTTGATCTTGAGGTTTGTGAATTTAAAAAATGTTACTGTATGTTTGTTGTCTATAATTTGTAATATATTAAACTGATAAATTTGTATAAATATTTGCACTATTAATGCTTTTGATGCCATATATTTTGCACCTAGTTATAGAATAATTATTTTAATATTAAAAAAATTTGCCTTGTTTTCTTAAATTGAGAATTCATCAGGCATATTTTCAGAATAATGCATATTTTTATTAGGCTCATATTTGAGTAGAATGCCAATAATATATATACTACAGGGCCGAGGATTGTGCATATTAGTGAATTTTGCAGAGTATAGATCATGTCTGATGTATGTTTATACTTTCCCTGCCTAATTTTCATATAAACTGTTTATATCTAAATAACTAAAATGTACTTCTACCAGAGAATAATTTTATCAGCATATAATGAATACAAAACTGTTATACTTTAAATTTATAATTACCTATTTAAGAAACAAAAGCTTTTGGAACAGTAAAGAAATCTTTTTGTAAAACATTGTATACATACCAATGAAATAACTTTCAAATGTTATTTAGATGCTCTTAAATGAAAGAAAAAAAATGAGGAAATGTATTTTTTATATCCCTTAGGTAATGATTCTGTAAATCAAATTCATATGCTGCTTTTACATTCCATGCATTTGCACATAGATAACTTCTCAAAAAGTTATTTACCATGTTTTCCATTCATAATACAAGAGCTGTTTGTTTACGAATACTGTTTTAAATCTATTCCTACTTACCTCTAGTGTTAACATGCTTAATTACATAGCAGCATTTAAACAAATTATGATGTGCAAAGTTTAAATGCAGCATATGAAAAATTATTTGCAAATTAATTCTTAATGTGATGCCACCTAATTTTAAAACTAATTAACCGTATTAAAAAATTAATAATAAAAGCAGTGATATATGCAAACATACGTTAAATAAGCTAAATAACATTGAATTAGAGAATTTTTGAATACCACACTCTGGTGTTCATTATTTTAAAAAAAGAGCATTGAAAATGCTAAATAATTGCAGTAATGAAATAAATTCACTCCAGAAATCAAACTTTGTAACAAATATGGTATAATTTTGTTCAAACGTTAATTTTCATACCCAGTAATCTTTTGCGAAGTGTGGATTTGCAAAATGTAATGTTATATATACATGGTATCATAATTATTTCCATTTATCTGATGCTAAAATTCCATTCATGTGCAGGATGTTGCAGAGGATCAGCCTCATGATATTGTATCCAAACATAGAAATTTTTTTAATTCCACCTAACATCATTTCCTTAATCCAACCAGTAGATCAAGGGGTTATAAAAACTTTTAAAGCTTATTATGTCAGGCATATTTATGAGATGATTAAACTCTCATGAGAACAAGTGAATTCATCAACACTGAAAGCTTTCTAGCATTAGCTCTGGCCAGAAGTTGTCAGGGATTTTAAAGGATTTCCATCAAGTGAAAATGAAGCCAAAAAAATTTTACAAATTGCAAAAGCATTTGGTGGTAAAATTTTAAGATGTGGAAGGAGAAGTAATTACGTGAGAATGATGAACAAGAAATGACAAATGAAGAATTGGTTGATCCTGTAACAGTGAAAACGTTGATAGTGTAAATTAAGTGCCTTTAACTTAAATGAAGTTAAACGCATTGTTAAATTAAAAATGGCATGGGAATAGTCTGATTTTGCAATTGATATTAGCCCAAATAAAAAAAGAAGCAAAAACACTTAATGTCAGCCTTAGAAAAACAGTGCTCCTTATCTCAAAACTTTTTAAGAGTTGTTTTGAACAAAAATTATCAGCTTTTTTTTTTTTTTTTTTTTTTTTTTAAAGTTGTGTCATATACATACTTACTAAATACTAATAAAAATCCTTTAAATTAACTTTTGTTTCATTCTGTCCTTTTAATTACAACATATATAGCTTTATTTTATATTTAGATTATACTTATTCTCTTGATTTGAACTAAACCTGATGCATTTTTTCATACAAAATGAATTATGCAGAATGCAGTTTTGCCATTCTCACAGTGTATTAGTAAAGTAACTCCTGCATTCATGAAGGTTTACTGTACATGTGAAAAAACACTAATAAATTTGCCATTCTGAATTTCCTGAATCAAATTTCATTTACTTATGTTCAGTGTTGAACGTAAATTATGGGCATTCAGAAATCAAGCAGTCATGTATTATTGGACTTCTGTTTTTAAAGAAATCTGGATATATTCAATAAATAAAATGAATTCGTTTATTTATTGCGAACGTTTGGTGCATTGTAGGAAGAAGGCCGATGTTAATTTTTTTGGCAGGTTATTATTATGCTTAATTTTGAGAAGGGAATTTCTAAATATTTTAACAATTTTAACAAAATTAGATGAGGGAAGAAATGGCATTTATCATTTATAATGGATCATGTTGCCTTGTCAACAGTTTTTGGCAGCAAAGTAATTCCTGTGAGATTTTCAGTAGTCTTACCAAACTCTTGGATTGTAGAAAAGCATATGAAAGCTGTCAGCTGAATGGAAGGGATATGTCTTCTTAGAAGACATTTTAAAGGATACTGGATCATATTCATGTTGTGTAAGAGGAAATCTCCTGCACAATCAGCTTATTTGTCAAGAATTGAACCCGAGTTTAACTACCATTCTTATTACTTAACTGGTGTTGGACATCAAACTCTTGAAAGGCAGCTTTTAGAACCTGGTTCCTTTGTTAGCAAATTCTGAAGCTGTTCTTGCTAAATATTATTTATTGTTTAACTAATGAAAACTAAATAAGGATAAAGTTAGGAGTAAAATTTGTGTACTGAGAGATAAGATGAAAATGCTAATGATATTTGTCAAGGATACACCTTTTTTGGGGAAGAGAAAACTAGAGATGAAAAACAAATCAGGATTACCCAAAATGTCAAAGGAGATATTTTGTGGCCAAACAGTTAAATTTGACCTGTATAATCAATTAGTACCAAAGAAATTATGAGCTGTGTTTTATATTATATTATCTAAGGGTATTATCTCTCTCTCTCTCTCCCTCTCTCTGACATTTGTTTAGATTTTTTTTTTAATGTAGCAGTAAAATCTAACCTTTTTACTTTATTCAAAATATTATAAAAATGTTTATGAGAAAGAAGAGAAGATTTTTTGTTTAATTTCATATGCTTTAAATATATGTGTTAAAAAAGGAGAAATTAGTAAATCTCATGAGGAGGAGTAATCAATCCCACCAACATTTTTTGTTAAAATGCTTTTCAGGTTTCAGAGTTATTATGAGTTTATTTTTTATTATTTATTTTAGTAAGCCCAAGCTGGAAAATAAAGCATAACTGTTATTTAATTGAGATAGGTTCTTTTCTGTAGTGAAGGGAAAACTATGTAAATTTTACTATAAAATGGATACTCATCTATTAGTAATTTTCATTTAATGTTAGAGGAAAATCAGACAAAATTGTTTGTTCGTTTTTGAAAGGGGGTTGAGTTGTAGAACAAAAACAAAAGGATGTTGAAATAAGACTGCTCAATTTTTAAAAAAATTAGTAAGGATGTGCAGAAATCCAAAATTCTGACAGCCAGAAATATAAGAAATGTATTAAAAAAGGCGAAAGAATAAATGTGCAGTAGCATTAAGAGAATAATAATTATATGGTGAATTATTTACTTTGCCATTTTTTACATTGCATTATATTTAGTGATCATTCAGCTAATTTTTTTTAATCATATTTTAGGTAGATAAAAGAAGGAAATCAATGTTCATAGTTCACCCCAAACCTCCTCAAGGTTATAAGGATTATCTTCTAAATAGATGTTCATATGTTCTGGAGGGCAATGCCGCTAGTCGTTTATCTGTACCTATGGTAATTATATTATACATACAGCATCTTTTTAGACAAAAATTATGATTTTTTTTGTAAACAGGGATCTCATTAAAAGTGAGCATTTTATATGCACAATGTGTGTGTGTATTGTATATATGTAATAATAAGTTTTAGCTGGTGTTTCTGCTTGGCAGTATCTTTATTTAAGCATAATTCAATGTATAATAAAATACAGTAAAGCCAATACAAGCAGTAGTTCAGCTGCAACAACAGTTTCAACTATGTTCCATATTTTTGCAGAATTATAATTTGCAGTTGAGAAAAGGTAGTAGACTTTATGTTAATTAGTATGTTCGTCGTGTTCTTTCTATCCCAACTCCAGTAAATTAATACAGGGTTGCCACGCTACCTGGAGAACCGGGAAAAGTCAGGGAATTCGAAAATTGACCAAAATATTCAGGGAAAAGTCAGGGAATTTAAGTATTTTTGTCAAAATCTGGAAAAGTCAGGGAAGTTCATACAACGATCCCGCCAAAAAAAGCGATTTTTGCGCCGACGTCGGAAGAGAGAACTTTTTTGGCGAATTATGTATCACGTGAGTGTCAGTTTTTAAAATTTCTTTAATCGCTAAAAAAACCGCCCGTGCTTGTCTCCAACGTGACGTGAAAACGTCGCTAGCGACGTGAACGTCGATAAGCATTTATCGCAAAAATGAAAATAACGTGGTGCACACGTCGCCTAACAACGAGATTGTTTTATTTCTCGAGTTACAGCTCTGGATTGCACTCGTAGATGCGGAGCGCGCGTAAATGAGACACTTTACCGCTTGTTATATTGTAGCGCACGGCACCGCAAACCATGAAGTTTAGTCTTAGCGCAAGTGGTTAAACTCTAAAGGAAAAGAAAATAGTTTTTTGGCGCAAGTAAATTAATTCATGGATTAGTTATTTTCAGGGGAAAAAAAACTACAAAATCCGTTTTTAAAATTATTGCGTGGATTTTTCGCAATAATTTTAAAAACGGATTTTCGTAGTTTTCTTTTTGTCAAAGAGCTTTCTTCTTAACACGTGTTTCTCAATTTTTCCTGTACACATCGCGGAGAGGGAAATTCTGGCCGCCAGGTTCCGTCGCCAAATCCCTTGGCAAATTTTTCCTTCGCATCTAACGGCGTAATAGCATTTTACTTGTATGGAACCTTTTCTTCTTTACATAGACGTTCTTTGGTTAGAATAATAATGAGATTTGGCGACATCATGATGCCAGTAACGGGTCATTTTGGTCTTGGCGAGAATTTTCAAAATCGTGCCAAAGCCTTACCGTATACTAGAATTTTAACCGCAAATCTTTTTTAACCTTTTTTTTTTTTTTTTTTTTTTAATAAATACCTTGCCATATTGCAGTAAAATAAAAAAATAGTAATCAGTCATCTAGGCTAGCCATGTAATATAACGATATTCGCTAAAATATCGTTGATTATTCTAATTCATTTTTAAGTAATTATTTTTATGTTATTCATATAATTTAATGTTGCTTCTTCCCTCTAAATTTATTATTATTAGTAATAAATATTTCCAATTTCAGGAAATTTTCTCTGGCATAATCCTGAAATTAATTTATGCAGTCTGATGACATACCATCACGAAATTTAATGCACATATTTTTTCCTTATGTATGCTGCGAAATAAATATAAAATACCTCATTTATTAAAATAGATTTCTTTCTTTCCGTTTAGCTGCAGAATGTCTGCAAAAAAAGCCTTATTTTATTCCAGATTGGGAAGATTCTAATCTCAATCTTCAATGGAGGAAACAAGAACTATTATAATTATATTTGTGTTTTTTTCAAGTGTTAAGGTGCCTTTTAAGAACATACCTCACGCAAATTAAATTTCCTAAAATCTAACCTAACTATTTAGCATTGCGTTGTGTGATTTATAAGGACCCGGATTAGCCTCATTTTTGAACTGGTGATGATCATGAGTAATAATTAAATAAACATACATTTGTTATCCAATGTATATTCTTAAATTTATTAAGTGGAAAACTAAACAAATTATCAACAAAGTATACCAAGAATAATTAGGATAAATGTCCTCTGGATTTATTGATAATTAAGTGAATTTGCTACACAAAACAAGTAATACCATAATTAATTTACCTCTTAGCACAGCCAACGTACATTACGCAGATAGACTGAAATTTTCTTGAAACACACCTGGAAAACCTGGAAAAGTCAGGGAATTTCATTCTCCTGTTTGAGTGGCAACCCTGTTAATAATTGGCTAATTTTATCCAAGGTTGTTATCGTATGATAGCAGCATATTTATGCATTGTGCTTTATGACTTTTGCATTCAAGAAATACAGAGTCCGTAATCCGGACGTCCATTTTCCGAAATGATCTATAATCTGCACCTGCTCGTCACTTCTTTGCGCAGCTGCAATTATTATTTTTTGCAGACTGTGAGAGCAATTTTATAAAAATTAATCTTGGACTTTCGATTATGTCAAAAAGAGTTTCCAATTCTGGAACTGCCAAAGGATCTACAAAGCGAAAGCATGTTTCGATGTCCATGAAAGAAAAAGTGGAATTTCTACAAAAAATGGATAAAGGCATATCAGTCTCAAAATTATGCGAGGGGTATGACATTGGAAAGTCAACTGTATATGACATAAGCAAAAAGTAAGCAAAAAGAAAAAGAAACTTTTTGAATTTTTGTGGATTCCGACACTCCACTTGCAGTGAATAACAGAAAAAGTGTTCGTTATGCTAAAAGCAACAAACATGAGGTGCTAACAAGGAATATGTGTCCAATGCTGATGACTCAAGCCAAAATATTTCATGAAGAAATGAACTTAAACACTGAGTGCACATATTCGACATGTTGGTTAACCAAATTTAAAAATCGCCATGGTATAAAACAATTAAAAATTTCAGGGGGAAGAGCTTCAGCTGGTACTGAAGCTGCTGAACAATTTGCAGATGAATTCATTGAACTCATTACTAGTGAACAATTATCTCCAGAACAAATTTACAATGCGGATGAAAATGGTCTTTTCTGTGAATGTGTACCGCGAAATACCTTGGCAACCTCTACAGAAAAGGCTCCAACTGGTGTCAAAGATTCCAAAGCGAGACTAAAATGCTGCAGGAACGCACAAGTGCAAACTTTCCATAATCGGAAAACATGCACGATCTCGAGCATTTAAAGGAGTTACGATTTTCCTCGTTATATATTGCACAAATAAAAGAGCATGGATGACACAAACGTTGATGAAATGATTAGTTTGATAATCATTTTATACCCGACGCTCGGCGACATTTGAATTCGGTTAGTTTACCTGATGACTCAAAAATAGTCCTGATTGTTGACATCTGTTTGGCGCATACTTAACTTAAAGTTTTAGTGAAAGATAATGTATCCGTATTATTCTGCCCTCCAAATTGTACGTCTATCATTCAGCCTATGGATATGGGAATAGTGCTCGCGCTGAAATGCAAATATAAAGTAGCATTTTTAAAATCTATATTAAATTTCTTGAACAATGGCAAGACAATTCAAAACTTTTTGAAATTTTTTAGCCTAAAATCTGCTGTGTGGAGCATCGCGCAAGATCGTGGGAGGATGCGTCTCCAGATACGTTAAAAAATGCTTGCCATAATTTATGGCCTGTTACCATATTTCATGGTCAGGACGATGAAGATGATAGCCGCGAATTTGAAGGTTTTTGGACATCACAAACTAAAGGTGAAATTTTCCAGTTATTGGATTTTGTAAAAAAAAATGTGGAGAAGCGATAATAAACGAAGGTGATATAACAGAAGTTTTCATTGTGACGACAATGCCCCAATCATCAATCAATTAACGGATGGCAAAATCTGTAGTATGGTTCTTGATCCAGAAAATACCGTTTCTGATAATGAAGAAAGTGACAGAGAGGTTATTGAAAACGAAAAAATTTCGATTGACAAATTAGTTGGAATTTTCGACATACCAATTACAGGACTTCAACTATGTAACTGAACAAGGAATTATGTCTGTCTACACAGGGTTCGTAGCGGTCCTTATAAGTGCTTATAAGTTTGAAAATAAAATATAAAGGCCCTTATAGGTGCTTACTTTTTCTTTAAAGCCCTTATTTTTTTGTTTTTAGTGCTTATTTTTTGCTTTTAGTGGTTTTTTTTTTTTTAATGAACGCGCTATTTTTCCCGGTACCAAAGCCGAAACTAAATAAACAACTTTTCTTCCTAATATGGAATGTCAGATGGTGAATCATACTCCCGGAAATAGCTTTTCCCCTTTCTCTGCATTAACATACCTTTGTGTGCACGAAGAGTACAGACAGGTTGCCCCGTAGTTCTATTGGTCAAAGAAATGCGAAAGTAATAAATAAAGGGAAAGTAATCGAATAGTCAAAATAATTTGTTTTTTTGGCAATACATTATGCAATACGAGAGGTCCTCCTTTCTCCGCAAAATCTTTGAATATTGAAACTGTAACATTGATGAAAACAAGGAACGAACCTTTTTTTTTTTTTTTTCCTTTGGTCCACTTTCCCAATCTGGATTGATAGGACTAAAAGTTCTGCGGTCTACCAACCCAAGCGAGAATGATTCTATTCTGGAAATTTAACGCCGTCTGTTGAAATTAGAATGAAAAACACCCCAGTTTTTAGTTCTTTATTCCCCAAACCGGCAGCTGTTGATTCCGATTGCGTATATCATGTAGGGAAGAATTACGGCGCTTGTATTGCGAAATAACGCTTGCAATTTTGCAGAGATAATTTATTTTTGATGTTCTGTCCGAGATTTGTTTTATGAACACTTGAAGAGTTTTACTGTCTTGCTAAGCATAATATTTTTCAGTTCCATTGGTTTATTTTTATTGATGCACATATCGAAATGTCAAAAGCATTTATTTAGCGGGAAATTTAAAGAGCGGCTACAGTCTACCCCCCCCCCCCCTCTCCGCTCCTCTTTTTTCAAGTTACGCTCGACTGTCCGAATATTCGCCAATTTCCAAGTATGCAGGTAGGTTAGTTTAAGATTTTACTGTTAAAAAGGATGACTGCAGAAGCAAATTTCTGTCTTCTGATTTCAGAAATGTTCCTCTTTTTACTTAAATTACTTTGCTTGCAATATCTGTTAAGATAAAACTGATATACAATGAAAATTTAGAAAATGTTCAGAATTTAGATTTAAATTATTTAAATATCAATATGAGTGGGAAATAAAATTGTATTTATTATTAGGTTCAAGTGATACAATAAATATGCTTATTATTATTTATTTTCTCTATTTTGAACTGAAATTTCATCATTAAATCTTGTACTATAGTTTAGTTCTGCTAGTTTTTTTTTTCCCTCTCATTATAAACTAGTTCTGTAAATTGAACTATTATTTAAAAATTAAAAAAAAAAGTAATTATTTCCATGGTTGAGGTAATTCTTATTCTTCTTAATAAATACTGCATTTCTCATATTTTAAATTACAGTCTAATTTTAAGGTTATGCAGTTGTGTATAATGTAATTAGACAGGTGCTTATTTTTTTCTAAAATGTTCTTGAAAAGTGCTTATAGGTGCTTATTTTTTTAACTAAAATGTGGCTATGAACCCTGCTACAGAATTAAAGGGAAAGTTTTAGCACAAAAAACAAAGCAACTTAACCAACATATAATGAAAAAAATGTTTAAAGTAAAATATATATTAAGCTTTTGTAAATGTTGATAAACTTTAGATCATAAATGCTTCATCATTTCATATTTTTAATCTTATAATTTCTACATGTCATCTTACTAGATTTAAACTGACGATCTAATATCCAGAAAAATCCGGAATCGTGGAAGTCCGGATCTTGAACTTTGTAGAATATTGTAGTTTTTGTGCATTCATAATTAAAAAATGTGGCAGTTTTTTTTTTTTTTTAATGTAGTAATTTTCAGGTGCAATTATATTTTGTGTCTGTGGACACAGCAATTACAGGACTGGAACCGTGGAACTTTGTAACTAAGCAAGAAGTTATGTCTGTTAATAGAATTAAAGAGAAAGTATTAGCACAATAAACAAAACAACTTACATTGAAAGAAATGTTTAATAAAATAAACAAATAAATATTAAGTTTTTTTTTTTTTTTTTTTTTTTTTTTGTAAATTTTCATACCTTTAGATCATAGTTGCTCTTTATTTCATAAATTATGGTTTCATATTTTTAATTGTATAATTTCTGCATGCCATCTTACCAGATTTAAATTGATGATCTATAATCCGGAATCGTTGAAGTCCTGATGAGTCCGGATTACGGACTTTGTACTGTACTACAAAAATCATTGAAGGTTTTTTTATGTATACCTAGATGCTAACTATAAATATAAGTGTTAGAAAAGTCCAAAGTGGAATTTTTAATTTGAGGACAAGCCAAAAAAGTTGGCAACCAAGGAAGGTGAAAGTTAATAAATTGAAAATACTGTTACAAGTCAAAACCATATAACACCAGTGGGGAGGTAACAGAGTGAATTCAGTAAACAACAGGGTTTACTTGAAATAAGAAGGAAAGTTTTCTTGTGTTGTCATTTGGGCATGTCCATTAAAAAAATATCTTATTATGTATATAGTTGTATACTTTGAATATATAGAAGATAATGAAACCATTAATATTTTTCTTCAGTTGTTGAAAGCTGTTTGATAAGCATTTTTTAGCCCTTCTGGGCCCTAGGCCCAGAAGGGCTGTTTTAATCTCAAAGTAGCACTTTTCATCAAATCAATATGAATGGCTGTATCAGTTTTCAAATTGTTGCCACCAAATATTATTGCCCTGTATTATATTTAAAAGAAACTAAATAATGAAGAATCTACATGAATGTATTTATATTCCTTGCATTGTGGAAAAACAACGGTACCTAGAGTCATCAAATTTTGTATCAGGTAGTTCTCCACCTGAATATGAGCACCTGGAAGCCCAAATTTAAAATTTTGAATTTGCATTATTGTCTGTTTCATATTTTGTAAAACTTAGAGTTTTTGATTTAAAAACAACAATTTCAAAACGAATAGTAGTAACACTGTTGGGAATAAAACATTTTTATTTCCAGCACTTGAGACTGTCTGTCGGAAATTCTTAAGATATGCTGTTTTTAAATATTTGTACCCCGAGTGCTTTCGAAACATGTAAATGAAAAAAATTTGAGCATAATAAAAATCTGAAAATTTTTGGGGGTAAAAGGAAGAATTTGTTGTACTCAAGTCTGATGAGTGGGGAGATTGCGGAATATATGCAGTTTGATATTGAGAATTGATGTGCTGTTATAGCAGTATATGGTTGCACATTATCATGATAAAGTATTTATAGTTATTTTTCCACTTTTTAGGTTGATTTCTTTAAACTGTTCTTCTTATGTCTTTCCAAGCTATTCTTTATTTTCTTGGATAAGAGTAACAACTTCCTCCTCATTTTATCATCAGTAAATGATGTTGATTATTGTCTTCTGCAGGCTTAAATTGAAATTCAGTTTCATTTAAAATTTTATGCCTCTCAGAATCTTGATCAATAATGTAATTTTTTGTTCTGTTTTTATTTAATTGTATACAGTATTTAATGCAAATGTATTGCTCTTTCAAATCACTTATTTTCTTTCAGAAAATTTTCAAATGAAAAACATTCTGAAAAAAAAAAAAAAAAAAAAAAGGTGTAGTGATGTACTAGATCTGCCAAATATCAGTGTATAATTTTTTTGTGTATGTTTAAAAGCATTTAAACAGTGTATTGATATAAAAAGCTAATTATTATTTCAAATATGGCAAAGAAAAAATCAGTCTTGAAATTATATCAACATTCATAAAATATATTGTGCTCTGTTATGATGTTTTGTTATATATTTTATACTTATCATTGTAATGTTAATAGTAATAAAATTGGGAATGTAAGTAACCGATAATCTCAATTATTAATATGCTTATAACATTGAAGCATATAATTAGAAATCTGATTATTGTAATTTATCTTAGATATCTCCGCCACAGTCTCTAGAAGGCTCTATAAAAGAATTATTTATACAGCAAGAAAAGGAGCGCTACAGATTAAGGCTACAGCATCTTATTGAAAGAGTATGTAAAAGGATTTATTTTTCTGCTTTCCATTTATTTTCTAGTAACTTTGCTCTTTTTTAGGAAAGCTAAATTAGTTTAATCTTTAGAACCATTTATTACTTTCTTTTAATATAGTTTGTATTTTAGATATTTACTTTGATAAATATGCTGTGTATTAAAAGATCACTCTATATAGAACAGCATTAATATGTTTAGGGATCACAGGTCATTAGCAATTTCAGGGATCTGATTTGTAACAGATTTTTATTCCATGTAATCAAAATTCATAAATTTTGAAAATAAATGGATGTGGTTTATTTTACAAAGTATGTGATTTCTTAATTACAATTACAGTCAGAAAATGCTATCCAAAAATAAAAAATTTTGCAAATGTCTTCCATTCATATTACAAGGAGAAATAAATTTATTTATTGTAACAATAAAAGGGCTGACAGAAAATTTATATGTTGATAAGTATTAACATTTCTTATATCAAAGTGTGCTTGAGTGGGTAGGGGCATACACATACAAGCTGTGTAGTAAAATATTTAAATAACAAAATCTGAAATAGCATTTCATTGTAAAAAGTTGGTGCTGAGGATGTTATGTCATTTATAGTTTAAGTGCTTATACTTTATCATGTAAGGTTAATTGCAGAGCCTTCAGAGATGAAGTAAGCTATCATTGCTCTAACTAAAAACTAGGAAAAAACTAGGAGAGATAGTGAGAAAATTAATCATAGATGTTGGTCATATAACTGTGTACACAGTGCACAAAAAAAGGGGGAAACGGTAATATCTCCCACTCTACTGGGCGTATTGATGAAATTTAATTTGCAATTTTCATGTCTCAAAAGTGCTACATAGGATATATATTAAACATTTTTCTAACATAGGTATTTATACACAAAAATTGGACTTTTTCTGCAATGGTATACTGATTTTTTTTCCCCATATCTCAATTCTGCAACTCAATTTATGCCCAAATATTAAATTTCATAAAATTTGGTGAAAAACATACCAAGAAATTTAAAAATTTATTCAGTTTGCATCAAGAAAAATTAATTTGGCAAAATTCTAAATTTATACTAACTGATTTTCCTTTCCCCCCCTTTTTTTTTCCATAAATGCACGACTGGAAAAAAATGTGCATCATTCATTCTTTCAAATAATTTTAACAAAGTGTATAAAGCACATTTATCATTATTATCACTTACGAGAAATATGCCAAATTTCAAAACGTGCCAATATATGAATTCATGTATATGTTTTGAAATTTTAAATAAAAAAATTCAAATTTTTCGCAGATATGCCTGAAATTACATCTACTTTAAGGTGATGGTACAAAATTTTAAAACAAAAAGAAAGTAGCTGCGAATTTTATTTGAACTTTAATTTCAAATTGTGGAAAAAGGAGTCAAGTAAGTGTAATAAAGAAAGAGGTATTGATAAATATATACTAAATTCACTTAATGTTGAGATACTAAAATTTTGAAGGCTAATTTTTTAAAAACGACACACTTTTGCATAATTTGAGTTGTGGAATTGAAATATGGAAAAAAAGTGTCACTATATCATTTCAGATAAGGTCTGATTTTGCCAGAATACGTATGTTAGAACAATGTTATATATAAATCTAATATATATTGTAAGTTACGTTTTCGAGACATGAAAAGTAGAAGTTGATTTTCGTTAAAATTGGCCCAGTTGAGTGGAAGATATAGAGTGGTGTGTGCAAGGTGTACATGCACTCATGTGTAAAATTAAGAGAATTTGCACTGTATGTCGAATTTATAAAAAACTAATGAAAACATTTTAATGAAATTTGATTCACCTTTACAACAGAGGAAGAAATGCAGCATTTAAAAATCATTTTATTATACTCAAGATTATTAGCAGAGCTGATAGTTCAGGGATGCCCAAAATCCATGTTGTGACATAGAACTGAAAATGAGTCTAATATGAGTATGGTCTCTCTCATAGCCTCTCTCTCGCATATACTGTAGGTAGTTGAGTCCTTGTGGCAATCAGTCTTGTTTCTACAACAATGCTGTTTTCAGTTCTGGGATGGTTCTCGATGGGGGGGGGGTGAGATGGAATTGCTCTGTCAATAGTGTCCCAGGTATACTTTTCAGGTTTAAGGTCAGGAGATCTGGCTGGCTTAACCATGCAGCATATATCCTGACTTTCCTGCTAATCATGAACCAGCTGAACTGTATGTGGGCGAGTATTGTCGCCCCTTTACAGGAACCCAGGACCAACCACACCCTAGGAAAGTCAAATATAGTGTTCTTAGATTTCCCCTCTTTACTTTATAGGAGTATAAGGGAGCTTAGTCATACAGATACAGGAATGTTAAGCTGTCAAAACCATTAAATCTCCACTGCTGTAATGTTCCTTTTCTGTAATGAGGGAAAGATGGTATCATATACCAGGCTGTCTCCAGATACAGGCATCAAGAATCAGTGACCAGGATAAATATTGAATCATTTGTAAAAAGCACAGTTCTCCACTGAGGTCTGGTCCAAGGCGCAGGTTCTTCGCACCATGCTAAATGCTCTTTCTTATGTATTGCAGTACGTGGGATGCAAACAGTGGGTCTTTTGGTATACAGCTGTATCTCATGAAGCCTCCGGGCAGCTGTTAACCATGAAACTTGTGTTTTGATGGTAGTGTGCAATTCACATGAGAGCTCTGAACCTGTAGCAGTCTTATGTCTCCGCATTGAAAGTGCCAAGTAACAATCTCATTCATCGTTGTGAATCTTGGTCGACTATGTGCAGATCTTCTTGATATGGATCCAGTGTCCTGAAACCGCAAAGTTTCCACAAATTGTAGATAATGCTGGGTGTTACATTGAGTTCTGTGGCCATATGCACTTGTGATTGGTCTGCCTTCAGTCTGTTGGCAATTCTTTATCTCATTCCTTTATCCATTCGTTTCTGGCTACTCATTTTACCTGATACCCTATAAAATTAGATCAACTATTACAAAAAAAAAGACAGTAAATATCTTAAAGGAGTACGAACACTCAAGTCGCCGTAAAACCCTTGTGCGCTCGTATCCTCTCCACAATCACTGCTCAGTTGGCAAGCGTGTGTATGCTTACATACTCAACTCTGAATATTTGCATAATTAGTACCTTTGGTTTAATAATTTAGAAAAAAATAGACATGATTTGTAAATTCTCTTAATTTTGCACGTAAGTGTATGTGACTGCCTGATTCTCTTATGTATCAGAACTGAATCAATGTAGCCTACCAGCCATAGAGTAAAAATGATAATTTCTTTATCATTACATGTAATGTAATTTTTAAATTTTTTTAGTATTGGAAAGGAATCAATATTCTCATGATTTATTTCTTGATAAACTTTAAATAATTTTTCCCAGCTTTTTTATTTTGCTTACATGCTTATCATATAATTTTGTTCCCATTTGTTTGCTCACTTATGTTGCTGTATTTTCTTGTTGAACTGTGTATTAGTGGAGATTTGAACTAGGCTCTAAATGGTCTCAGTGTTCTGTATGGTGATAAATGATCTTGGGGGTGAAATTAAAGTCCGTTGTTTGAGGATGAGATTAGGGTCCATTGTGTGGAAATAAGCTGTCGTACCATCAGGTAAAAATACAGTTTGGCCTGTCTTACTAGTATTTGTATCTCTTTCCTAATTCAAGCATCCATTTCTGCTATATGATAATTGCCGGTAGTATGGAGAAAAAAAAACTGAGGCCATTTCCAAATTAAGAACTGTATTCTCTTTGTTTGAGATTACTGCTGTATACAGTGATTTATTTCCTAAAATAATGTGTGTAGGGTCAGTTTGGGAAAACGAGCTCAAAAAAATATACAGAAACCTGTGCCAAATATAAGGTTGTTACTTTGCTAATACAAGTATAACTGCAAAATCAAATAATTAGGCTGAAAGGTTGTTTTGTTAAATTACTAGGTTTTGAAAAGGTAAAATAAGTTGTCGTATGTTAATACATATTTTAGAAGTTTTGGTGTCTGTTTTTATAATACAGCATGTTTCAAAAAGAATATACGTATTTCGAATGCATATATTTATTAAACTGTATAACGTGCGAATATGAAACTTTACACACATGTGTACGAACCTCTCAAGTTCAGATTACAGATGTTCAATATGTCCTCCATCAGCGACACGAACAATATCACATCAATACTCAAATTTCTCCCATACTCGGACAAGCATGTTCGTCGTAACTGATGTTATGACAGTACGGATCCGGTCCTTCACCCCTTCCAGGTTCTGTGGGAGTGGTGGTACATAAACATTGTCTTTAATGAAATCTCACAGGAAGAAGTCACAGAGTGTCAAACTCGAGAACACAAAATGATTTCAGCTTCAGAGTAGCCATTTTAAACATGTGAGGGTTGCCATGTAAAACAGAAAGCAACTGACATCTGGTGACTATTAATATAAACTAGACTATGTATTCATTTCACCAATAGCCGAGCCGAGGTGCAGTGATCAATAGTTTGGACAAATTAACACTCTCTAATACATATGTTCTTTTTGAAACACGGTGTATGCATGTAGTCTGCACAGTTCCTCCCTTTCTTCTTTCCACATTTGGGAGTATATTTTTTTGTCTTCTAAAATTAATTGTATGTGGTTAACTTATTTAAGTAGTTTGCTTGTTTGTAAAATTTCTCAAATTGAGTTTCAACATCCTCATATCTAGACAGAAGAGAAACATGGCAAAGTAAAACATAAAATTAGCAGAACAAAAATCTTGTGTTCAGTGTAGATTTCAGTTGATACTAAATTGATTTCAAGAGCAAACAGGTACAGGTCCCTCTTTTATGTTGCTGCAACCTTGTGTTTGGCATAGATTTCAGTGAAGACTATCAATTTTGAGAACAAACAGCTACAAGTTCCAATGAAGAGGGACCCAGAAATTGATATCGTTTTGACTGAAATATAAATGCCAAATATAAGGTTGTTACTTTGCTAATATAGGGTTTGTAGCGGTCCTTACAGGTGTTTATAAGT